AAAAATATCAACGTCTATCAATGATAGCCTATTGTTATAAAATGAATATTTCTTCTTCATTGTTCTCTCCGACAATAAATGAGAAAATATTTCTGTATATATAAATAAGAGACTATTGAAATAAATGAATTAGACATAAATATGTCGAATAACAATCAGTACAATATACTCGATTTATCCAATGAAATTTTATTCATTATTTTTAACAAATTGAATACGATTGATGTTCTATATTCACTTGTCGATATAACTCAACGATTTAATCAATTAGTATTCGATCCATTTTATATTCGTAATCTTAATATGACTTCTTTGACGATGAAATCTTTTTATGATCGTATCTATTCAATAGATAATCAAGTTCTTGATCGAATTTGTAAAAATATTTTACCTCGAATATCTCATCAAATAAATGAACTCATTCTCGAACAATATTCAATGGAACGTGTTCTTCACACTAACAATTATCCTCAACTTTACTCGATAACACTTATGGATTTTTCAGATGAAGCTCTTTTCAATTACTTAACAAGTAAACTATTTAACTATTTAATAGAGAAATTAATATTTTGTTATATTTTTCTTTTCTCAATTGAAGATAATACAATTCTTCGAAAACTTCTCAATGAACAAATTACATGTCTTACAATTGATGTTAAAAATAAGCCAACAGAACCATTTTCTGAAACACTTTGGGTTACATTTACTTTGATATTATCTTTATGTAAACAATTAAGCAAATTAAGTTTTTGCCAATTCGATAATCGATCAACGTTCTGTACTTTTGACTTATCATCAACAAATTTCAAATCTTCAACATTAACTGAATTGAAAATTAATGTGGAAACTCTCGATGATTGTCTTTCTCTACTTGATGGACGTTTCAATTGTTTATCAACATTGATTATAAATATAGAAATAATTTCATGTACATCAGGAACTATCGATAATACAGTTAGTATAATTGTCAATTCTTATCTTTCGAGAAAAAAAAAGAACATCAAATTCTATAATTAAATCTTTTTTTTGCATAGAAAAAACTTCCCAAATTAAAACATTTTTCGTTAATATCGTATCCACACACATTTTTATATGATAATTTAATTATTCCATTACTTCAACGAATGATAAATCTTGAAGAATTGATATTACATCTGTCAATAATAAGAAGTAATAAGAATTATATTGATGGTATTCAATTATATGATGATATTCTTATTTATTTGCCACGATTAAACAAATTTACTTTCAATATATATACAAATGTAGATAAGAAGAATGTTGGAATTGTTTTTTCGTCAAATGAAGATATTCAACGTAGTTTTAAAAGAAAAGAATATGGATCAGTTGCTTCGCATATTGAAATTTTCACAAGAGAAAATCAAGATAAATGTCATAACTATTCATTACCATATGAATTCAAAAGTCGATGCCACATCTATTCGCTTCCGCATCAATTCAGAACTTATCACTTTTTAAATAATTCTTTTCAAGGTGGAATATTTGTTAATGTTCAATCCCTGGTAATGACTGACTTCTGTCCTTTTGAGCATAATTTCTTCAAAACTATCTCTCAAAGTTTTCCATTATTGAAAAAGATGGATATCATGAATAAAGAACCACAGAAAGACAAGCAAAAATCATTATCATTGATCAAATTTTCTTATCTTATTTATCTCGATCTTCAAAGTGCTCATGCAGATTATGCTGAACAATTTCTCGTTGATAAATATTGTCATTTACCTTGTTTGTTGAACCTTGATATTCACTATGAATCACTCGTTCTGGTCACAAACAATTTTACTAAGGATGCTACACGTCTCACTTGTAGTAAATTGACCAGTCTTCGTATAAATGAACCGTTTGTACCTCCAAAAAATTTTTATCAATATTTTCCTTTATTGTAAATAGAATTTTTGTTAAAATTTATCTCAATAAAAGTTAATAATGGGAGAAGATTGAATGTATTTTGGTCATTCTACTTAGATAAAATAAAATGAATATAATAAAAACAAAAAAATGGTAACTTCCAAATCTGAATCATTTGGTTGTTTTATGGAAAATTCTACCTTTTGTTTTCACGTTATTCTTGGATCAATCAGTGTGTAGTGCAGAGATACAATCAAGCAGATCATTTATATTTGGTGGACTCTTCTCTAACGAGAAAGAGAAAAAGATTTCTTTTTATTTAAAAAAAAAAAAAATTTTATGTCTCTTTAAGAAATGTCGCAATAAAGCGAAATGCACAGCCAAAACTGGCGATATCTTTCATGTTTGACAAATACAATTTTAAATTACTTAAATGACCATAAGTAGCCTAGATGAAAAAAATTTTTTAATATAGTAATATATGTTTTTTCTTCTTTTTACTTTGTTTGATGTTTTGGATATTACACCAAGTTCATCTGAAAGATCCTCTTCATCAAGACCTGTTGATAAATCACCTTTTGTTCCAATAATAACCAATGGTTTATTTAAAATTTGTTTATCATTTAATAAAAGCTAATTAAAAAAAACAAACAAAATAATTTTCAAGATAAAAAAATGAACATACAAACATCGAATGCTTCTTTTGCTTTAGGAAAACGAATTGAATCAGTTGAATCAATAAGAAAGATAATTGCATCAGCACTTGGAATATGATCTTTCCATAAACGACCACCTATAACAAAAAAAAAAATTTATTTGTTATATTATATTGATCATCACCATGATCTAATTCAATAATTGTAAATTTCATTTTGCCCATGAATAATTCTTTAAAATTAATGAATAAAAAATTTTTATAATTAAACAAAAACGAAAAGGTTTTTTCATACCACAAGATAAATTTGATGTATATTCATCGAATTTATTTTCTTTTAATGTATTTAACAACGTTTTCTAAAAAGAAAAGGAAGATTTATTAAAAAAGAAAAACAAATTTTTTTTTCATATTTTACTTTGCCTGAATTTTTAAGACCGAGAATAAGAATTGTACCACATTAATTATGCAGACCTATTTAAAAGAATTTTTTTATTGACTATGTATTAAATAAAATTTCTTTATATCAAACTTACGACAATCTTTTGCAAGTATTGCATCACGATCATCTGCTACTTTTTCAGCTTTTAATCCAGTTACACGAATTTTGATCTTTTGATTTATTTGACGTTGTTTTAAACGATTGATTTCACTAGTTGTTGTTTCAGTTTGTGGACCTTCTTCAAGTTTTTCAACAGCTTTTGATGTTTCATCATATTCACTTTCAAATTTTTTTCAAGTTCCTCAAGTTTGACAATCTAAAAAGAAAGATAAAAATCTTCATAAAAAAAGAAACATTTGAATCTACATTATTCTCAGTGTTCTGTAGTACAACGTTAAATTTTTCATCAGCCATAATTGACCAAACAAGATGATAAATTATCTAAAATGAAAATTAAGAAAATCGAATACTTAGAGTTCAGATAGAGACAGTAGAAACGAAAGAATTTGACATCAGATGATTTAATTGATGATCTATATGATAGTAAATGAGATGTTATACTTCTAGTAGCAATGTTAAGTGAACAAAAACAATCATCAAATTGAGCTAGATTATTTAAAGTAAAAATAATAAATGAATAATAGACATTTTTTTCATAAGTTATATTCATTTTTATTAAAATTTAATTTATATTTAATGATATTTCGGCAATATTGTAGATTTCATTAGAAAAAAAACTAATAATAAAGACATACATTTTTCTTTATTTTTGAAATAGTGAAACGAACGAAAAAAAACTGAAGAAAAATTTCATTTTTAATATCTCTAATATAACGGTTTTTTTTCTCGTTTCATTGTGAATAGAATAGAGAAGAATCTATGTATTTATTTCTAAAGTAGTCTAATGATGTCGATATCATTGACGAAATGTTACCTAATAGGATTTAATTAACAACATCATTTCATGGAATTTATACGAAGTGATGATTCACAAACTGTACATTTTGCTTTCTAATAATAAAAGAACTTATCAATTAAATCTAATTTTAGTGATATAAAATACAAGTTTGATTCAATAATCATTTAATTATTTCTTCATTGAGATATTTTGTTATTTTTTTTTTATTGTTTTATTTGTCTATATTTCAATTAACTACGAACTATGTTATGAAAAGAAAATAGATATATTAACTAAGATTGAGTCTCGCAAAAAAATTATTATAGGATTACCTGTAAAAAAACGTATTTCTCATGCTGTAGATTGTCGTTGATGTTAGAATAAAGAGCTTCCAATTGAAGTTTTTTCAATCTAGATATGATAAAAATTAGATTTGAGGAGGATTCATCTCAGATTCGAGAAAAATTTCTGGAGCTAAGATCAAATTTAAAAGAATTCTCAGTTCTTTACCATTACAAAAGGAGAAATTCAGGATCATTTATATGTATTACAAAATCAAAAGTTTTGATAAAACTTTTTGAAACGAAAATAAAACAGAAAGTTATTTTATAATATCCTGTTCGTGTTCAAATATTTTTCTTTTTTTCAATATTCATCGACAAATGATTCAATTATATCGGAATCTCTGGATCGATGAATCCTTTTCATTACTCAATCATCGAAACCTAACCACAAATCTTTTATGTTGTTGATGATTTAGATTTGATAGTATTTATTGTTTGAGATCGTCGAATATTGACCTTATTCTAGTATTGTCTCGTATGAGATTTATTGATAAAAAGAAAACTTTATTAAAAATACTTCATCTACTTGTTTTTTTGTCTTATATTCTATTTCTTCTGAAAGCGAACGAAGATGAAATGAAAGACTTTTTGTTTTTTTGTGTCATTAAACTTAATGTGTTAAAATATGATTATCAATTGTTGTAATTTATTTGTTATTCAATTTTCTTAATAAAAATTTTCAATGAAAACAAAATTAATTTATATTATATCGATATTTGTTGTTATTGGATTACTATCTATGAAAAAAAATTTACAGAAATTTGATTATAGATAATCTTTCATTGAGGAAAACTGGTTTATCACCTTGTGAATTTATTGAACATATCATTGGTTTTTTTGTTGAATGAAAAAGATTTATTCTTTGTTGATGATTAAGATAATTATAGACGAGTCATTTTTAATTTAAATGACTAAAAAAAACAAGACAACAAATGAAAACATATCTTTCAATTTAATACAAACCGATAAACAAAGTTTAATAGTTGTTTATAAACTTCATCGATATGAATATTGTGGCCGATGTTCTTCAATAATGATCGAAATATAAATTAAACAAATTAACATATGATACTTTTAACGTGTAGTTAACCTTGTCCTTGTGATATATAAGAATATTATATAAGTGTCTGTGTGCACATGTTACTTGGACAAAATCACTTTATTAACTTCTCTCATCGAAAATGAAAATGTTTACATATATATATATATATATATGACTAGATCATAGTAAGAGAGAATAGAGAAAAAGAGAGAGAACAAAGACAAAAGATATAACGAAAGAATACAAGAAACGAATAGTGATAAATCTAGGTATATTAAAAACAAATAGAGAAAGAAAACAAAAAGGGTGTGGGGTGTGGGTGTTGCTATTCTTATTAGCAACATGTATATCCATACCCACACCCACACCAAATGTTCATTTTTTGCTTACATGACAGTACACCCAGAAATATAAAAATACAACCGTTTCATT